TTTTAATTGGTAGTAGTAGTGTGGTGTTAATGTCCCCTTCACGCAGTGTGTTGCTGTCAAGGTCTCTTGAAAGGTCTGTTAACATCTGTTTTAAATATTTTAATGTACCTTTCTTTGACACATATTAGTTAATGAGCGTAAAGTACTCTTGATTGATTAATTTCTTAAATAGTGTGCAACCACAATATTGGCCTCTTGACTTTTTAGTTAGAATATATTTCATCTGATATAACTGTGACTGTCATTAGCATTTTAGGACCCATTTGTCTATATGTTCATTTTCCAAACTTTTACTTTAAGACCATTTTTATCACTGAAGTACAGGTATGTTTCCTGTAGACAACAGAATTTAGATTTCATTTCCTGATTCATGTGTCCACGATATTTTTTTAATTGCAGTCTGACAACTTATGTTTAGTGAGATTATAGGTATGAACTAATTTGTTGACATTTAGTGTGTGGATTCTGGATGCTAATGCACTTTTTTCTTATTCCATATTTCTTCTTTTCATTCTCTCTCTCTGTACATTGATACCTGACTTCCTTATATTTATTGAGTTGTATTTGACACTAGTATTTTTTTCTTCTAATTGTCTTGAAGCTACCATGAAAATTACATCTATGTATCAAATATTATACATGTTGAAAAAATAAAGTATATATATTAAAAAAGGTACATATATACATATGTATATATACATATTATGTATATATGTATATATACACACACACTACATACACTTATATAACATGATATGAATTCTGTGAATTCTATGTGTCCCCAAAGCAAGTATAACTAGTTATTTTTCTACGAATTTCCTGTCTTACATTCATTTTTTCTTACTATTTTTGGTATTTTGTTATTTCTCAATGAAGTTTATTTTTCTTTTATAGAATACATTTAAATGTTTCTTGAGAGAGCATTTAATGGCAATACATTACTCAAATTGATATTAAAAAACATTTATCTCCACAAACCTGTGTGCTCACATAGCTATACAGAGTATTCTTGGTTGGAAGCTTTTATCATTTAACATTTAGGGCTATTTTGATTCTCCCTCTGCCTAAATATTTTCAGTTAAAGTTTTGCTTATTGTCTTAATAATAGAAAGAATACATAAAGATGTCAGGTCCCAGGTGGCTCAGTTTTTTGATAGTGAGATGCTCAAAGAACATAGCTTAGTGTTACAGCACTTACCTTGCTTAGCTATAGCCCTAGATTCAAACCTTGCCATCCACAAAAGCAGGAGGTTGATGGTCTCCTCAGGAATTTGCTTTTAGTATCTATTGCTACGGTGATTGATATCTAGCATACTTTACCAAGGCTGTAGGAATTGGTTAATTATTGCCTGCCTGTAATTTTGATCTCTCTTTATCCTAACGAATTTTGCTGAAATTTAATTATTATATAATATAATGAAGAGTGCCACATATTTGGTAAAACCCAGTCCTCCTTCTTACCATAAAAAACTCCACAAATATCTTCCCAAGTGTGGCTCTGTACTGGGATTTCCTTCCTGCTGAGGATGTTTCTCTGTCCCCCACATATTTGTGTATTACCAGAAGAATGAATTTATTCCCGAATTCATGCGTATTAGGTATTGTATGAAAGATTTACATATAAGGCTCCAGGGTTTATGAATATATAATGAATTGTACAGTTTAAGCAGATGTTTCTAGGTGCCCCTCAAAATCTACATTTTTCCTTTTCTCTTGAATAATTGGCCTTTCAGTTTTGAACACCTGAACTTGTTTCATTAACCTCTTCCTGAAAATACATAAGCATATGTTTTCCCTTCACTATTCTGAGTTCCTGAGAAATACTACAGTGGGTAGGGTACTTGCTTGTCTTGTTTGCATATGACCTGAATTCAATCTGCAGAACCACATATGGCCTACAGAGTACCACCAGGAGTGACCTTTGAACACAGTCATTAGTAAGCCTTGAGAACAGAAAAGTATGGTCCCCAAAGCAAAACAAATGAAGAAGAAAAACTCAAGAAAATGGAATACGTTATTTTTTATTTTCCAATTGCCCTGGCCTATAATTTTTTGAATGTCATATAGAAGAGTGCTGGTTAATCCCATACTATTTCTAATCTCTGGGTGAAATTATTTAATATTTTATCATTAAGTATATTGTTTGTTAAAGGGTTGTCTTGACACTTTGTGCCAAATTAAGGAAATACGTTTCTAGTCATAGCCTGATAAAAGCTAAGTAGGCATTTTTATAACAATTTTAGGTAAAGGTAAAGGTAAAGGTAAAGGTAAAGGCCCTCCCGTTGATCGTTGATTTGCTCGAGCGGGCCCAGTAACGTCTCCATTGGAGACTTTGTTGTTACTGTGTCTGGCATATCAAATACTCTCGGTAGCTTGCCGGGCTCTCCGAGAGGGGTGGAGGAATCGAACTCGGGTCGGCCATGTTGGCCGCTTGTAAGGCAAACGCCCTACCACTGTGCTATCACTCCATTTTAGGCTTACCTAAAATATTGTGCCAAAAGTATGGGGAGTAACTTTAAACATCCCCATATTGTTGAACTCAATTTTTTTAAAATTCATGTTTGCATTATTTCATTGTGCCTTTTAAAATTTAAGACGCTTGATACATTTTATTAAGTAAAGTCAATATTTGTGTGACAGAATTTTTCGAAGTTGCCTGATACATGGATTTTGACAAATGTCTTTTATGTCCACTATACTGTTGTAAAAAGCTATACAGTCTCAAATTACTGTTATCTCTTCATTGATCCTTCATCTTTGTCCACATTTAGTTTAGCTATTTGCGAGATGTAGGTGGAACTCAGAAATTTGGCTGAGTTTGTCCTTTGATTCTCAATTTGTCCTCATTCCTCGGGTGGAATTCAGGAATTTGTCCTCAGTTTCTATTACTATATAGATAGTAGCTAACAACCGGCAGGACAAACTGGCAGGCTACCGAATGTAACCTGCCCACAAGGCAGAGTCTGGCAAACTCCCTGTGGCTTACCCAATATGCCAAATACTAGTAACAATGATGGGTCTCATTCTCCTAAGCCCGAAAGAGCCTTGAATATGGCACTTTTTAAAAATCTCCGGGCTAGGACGAAGGAGACGTCCTGCTCGAGGCAATCGACAAACAACAGGATGGCCATGATCGTCATTGTGATAGTAGCTAACATAAGACTCTTCAGTGCTGTTACCAGCCAGGTTGTAAGGGATTACCAGAATGGCTTCTGCCAGCGAATACAGCCCATATTTTTTGCTGATAATTTCTTGTCTCTCAACCCCATGTTCAAACTATAGGACTGTGGGTTTGAAGTCATTAGGCTCAGCCTTCACTATACCCTGGCATAAATTATGAAGCTTAGAAGTAACCTAGGAATCACAAATTGTTACCTGAGGTGGGATTTTCTTTGTGTGTGCATGCGTGAGCGCGCGTGTGTGTGTGTGTGTGTTTGAACTATCTTGCTTTGTACATTCATACTATATATTCATTTTTATTGTTCATTTGAATTTTATGTTATCTGTACTGTTTTATCTAGGTCTTGCTGTGTATTTGCAGTAATGACAGAGCAGGCAAACAATTTTTCTCCATTTGGCAATACCTATTTTGCTCCAAAATGTTCTACAATTTTTATTGAGAAAGTGTGATTTATAATATCATTAATGACAGAGTTTCACACACACAACGTTCTGATACTCATCACCAGATTATTCCTTCATTAATATCTCAGGGTTCCTTCACACTGTCCCACCAACCTGGCAGACTCAATTCCGGAGACAAACTCTCAGATTCTATTATTGGCCAGTTTTTATTTCCTTATGTTCTTTGTGTTCCTCAGTTGAGAGTGATCATTCTGTATTCATCCCCTTCCTTCTGACTGACTTCACTTGGCATGTTACTTTAGTTTTAGCCTCTTTCCACAAACTGAATGATTTCATCGTATAACTGAGTAATATTCAAGTTCGGATATATATACATATATATATATACCTAGTATATATCACAGTTTATGTATATATATATATATATCACAGTTATTCACTCATCTGTTTTTGTTAGTCAAAGTAATTTTATTGAAAGAAATTTAAACATATTTGAGAGGAGTGGAAGAGTCAGTTGTGCTCAATGGGATTCTCTAAGGGGGGAAAAAACCTATCCACTCATCTGTTTTTGGTTACTTGGGTTGTTTCCAAATCTTGATTAGTCTGAATAGCGCTGTAATGAACATATAAGTGCAAATATCTTTTGAAATACCATTTTTAGAATTTATGGGGATAGATGCCAAGATACATATTTGATGGGTTATATGGAAGCTCAGTTCTTACACATACAAGTTTTCATACTGATTTCCACAAAAGCGGACTCAGATAATATAACCCCAAAATAGTGGATGAAAGGTCTTTTTTTTCCCACATCCCTATCACAATCTGTAGTTTCTACTCTTTCTGGTGTATGTAAAAATGAATCATTGTGTAGTGATATCTCATTGTTGATTTTATTTGTATTTCCTTGATAAGAGATATATAGCATTTTGCATATAATTGTTAAACATCTGTCTGCCCTTTGGGTGACAGTGTCTGTTAATATCTTCTCCCTGTATTTTCGATATGCTTTTGTCATTTTGCCACTGTTATAGATATCTTGAATTTTAGACCTTTGTCAAAAGTGTGGTTAGCAAATATTTTCTGCCATTCCACAGAGTTTTGTATGCGGTCAACAAGTTTTCCAAGCAACATTTATTGAAGAGGTTTTCCTTGCCCCAATTCATACTGCTAGATCCTTTATTGTCCAAAAAAGAAACAATCATAATGCTATAATACTTATCTATATATCTGATAGGCAGTCTTTGGATTTTGAACTTTGCTCCATTGGTATGAACCCACACAGTCTCAATTACTTTAGTTTTAGAATATAATTTAAAGTTGGTGAAGCAAAAGCTGTCCTCCAATCTTCTTTTTCCAGCATTTATTTTGGTATTAGATGAGTATAATTACTTCTCATAATTTTACTTTTTGGAAGATGTTACCCTATTCAATCTGGCTGCAACAGAGAAAGGCATATAGCACTGGAATTGTTTCTTTTTGCATCCTAGTGCAAATCCAAAGAACAAAAGCAAATTAATTAAGGCATACCAGTGGGTGCATCTATATAAATTTTAACAGCATTTCATTCATGTCCTTAGTATCATGTGATTTTTTTGTGATGGTTAAATTTAATCTATATACTGCTTTCAGTAAGATATTCATTTAAACAAAGCACTCCCTTCAATACTTTAACAAGTTTCCTTTAACGCACAGTTTCTATTTCTGTGTATTCTTCTATTTCTTTAAACAGTATTAAACTATTAAACTATTTTTATGTATTTGAATGTGCGTGAGTAAGTGTGTGTGTGTGTGTGTGTGTGTGTGTGTGTGTGTGTTGGGGGCTGGGAACAATAGTGAATGGAATAGCTTTTAAAAAAATTCTCTCATTTACTCACAGTTTGAGTTGATACAAAACTCAGTTGACCAGGATGTATATATGGTCCTCTTGTCATATTGTTGCTTTTTGATTCACTTATTTGTTGTTGTTGAAGATTTTTGCATCTATATTTATGAGTGATAATGGTCTATAATTTTCTTTGGTAGTGATTTCTGTGTCTTACTTTGTGTAATTACAGTCAGAAAAACTGAAAAGATTCCGTGTCTTAAATTTTCTCGGAAGAGATTTGGAAGATTTCATTAGTAAATCTTTTTGGGCTCAGAATGCTGTTCTTGGGGAGATTTTTGACTATCATTTCAACTTCTTTGTTAGTACCTGGTGTGTTGAGAATCTTCACACTAGTTGTTAAAAATCTTTCTCCTGAGTTAGTCTTTGGTAGTTATATGACTACAACATTGGTCCATTTTGTAGTTTTTCCAATTTTAATGCAAAAAGATTTTGACAGTAAAATTATGTGATCTGTAGAGTTTCAGTAGTATGGATTGCAAATTCTACCTTTTTATGTCTGACCTGGATTATGAGAGTGTTCTCTCTTTGGTAGTAGTTAGTATGTTTGCTGATATTATTTATTCTTCTTAAAAACTATCTTTATTTTGTTGCTTTTTCTGTTGTTGATTTTTGTTTCTATTTGTTTAACATTCTGCTTTATTATGTCCTTCTTGTTTAATTTATAATTTTGTTAATCATTTACGATATGCAGTTAGGTTATTTACTTGGGTCTTTTCTTTTTTTCTTGATAAACATTTGTGTTACTATAACCTTCCTCTTAGAACAGCTTTTGCTGTGTCACATTTGTTCTGGTAACTTGTGTCTTCATTCTCATTTGTTTTCTCATAGATTTAGCAAATGGTGAGAGATGGTAGGTACTAAAAGCTCCTTCTACATTGTTGTTGATATCTTTCTGCAGGTCTATTAGTAATGGAATTATGCATTGTGATGACCCTAGATTAGGTGCATATGTAATTAATAGTATAAAATCTTTACATGGAGTAGAAAAAATAATTAAGGGATTAAGACACAGGAGGTGAATGTTGCTAATATCACTGGCATCATATGGTCCACTAAGCATTATCAGGTGCATGAGGTGCATGTCTGGAGACCCCAAAAACACTTCATGGTCTGGACTTGAATGCCCCCAAATACTTCTGGGAGGGCCAGGTGATTCCTATCACCACAGCACAGCATTCTCAGTCCCTTGCATTGAACCATTAGCCCAACTAGTCAAAAGTCACCAGCAGGTACTCCCAGAGCTCTTGGGTTGTCTTGACCCACAATACTTCTTAATATGTAATTCCTATAATCTCTTCTTTGCTTGTTGGCTAAAATACAGTATAATATGTAGATCTCTTGGTCATTTAATAATAATTATCTGTGGACTTTATAATATTTTTAATTTGAACTTGATGTTTTATTGTATAAATAATGCTTCCAATGTCACTATTGATGTCAGCAAATTTATTACCTTTAATCTCAGTGATATAGTTTATTACACTAATTGATTTTCAGAAAGTGAATCATCCTTGCATTCCTATAATAAATCTCATTTTTCCTGATATATAATCCTTTATGTGTACTATTGAATATGTTTGCTAAGATTTTGTTCGTTATGTTTGCATTCATGTTCATCAGAACTATTGGTCTTTATTTTTTTTGCTTGTTTTTGTTTTCTGTGTGTGTATGTGCTATCCTTGTCTGCTTTTAATATCAAAATAATGCTGGTCTCATAAAATGCACTTAGAAAAATTACTTGCCCTCAATTTTTTCTAAGGCATTGAGAAAAAAATAATAAATAAATTTTAAAGTTATAGCAAGACCCAATAGTAGCAATATCAGATATGGAGTATGGGTTCTGGAGTGAATTTTGACTGCTACATATAATAGTGTTGTTAAGGTTTTTATAATTTCTCCTGACTATGTCCTGGGACATTTAAGAATTGCAAGACTTTTTTTCTGAGTTCTTTAACTTTTTCAAATACTGTTACTGATACAAATATCTTATAATCACGTGTATTATGATTAGCTTTATAGTTTCCCTGTTCATTTATAATCTTTCATTTTTTTTTCAAAAAGCTTTCAAAGTTTTTTTCTCTATTAGTGATGGGTCTGCAATTATTTTGTTCTTTTTGATGGATATTCTTTTAGATACATTGATCATATGCATTACTTATTATTTCTAACTCATACTAACATTTATTATTTTCCCCCATTAGCTGACTGGATTTTTTCTCATTCCTCTACTTCCATTAGGTTTAAGATTCTATATTTTCACTTTTAGCTTTTACTTTGAGTTATTTTAAAAGTCTATGTCTTCATGAACTTTTCTTTTAAAACCACAATTCTTGTATGTTCCAGCAGCTCATGCTTTTATTTCTATTACTTTTAAATATTAAAAATCTTCTAAGATTATCTCATTAACCCATCAGTCATCCAGTTGCACTTTGTTTAATTTCTTTATTTTCATTTATTCCAGGTTTCTCATTATTATTGTTTTCCCAAGGCGGCTTATTTAGTGATTCTCAGTTAACAGGAAGACACTGAAAAAACCCAAGGATGTTGTGCTGCTTAGACTCCATATTTCTGGGGATACCTAGACCAGCCACTCTGCTTGGGACATTCAGGTATTAATATCTCAATGCTTAAAGGAATTATTTAGTGCTGGAGAGAAAACACAGATCAGGCACATGTCTACTGTATTACCTCCTGGCTATAATTGTTTAATTTCTTATTTTAAAACATTCTGACTTGAGATGACAGTTATTTTAATTTTCTTCATTTTATTGGCATATCATTGTCTACCAAATGAATTGAGATCTATCCTTGATAATTTTGGCAACTGAGAAGATTATTTACTTGGATTTGGGGGAAAGGGAGAGTGAAATTTATAGTAAGTTGTCTATTACTACCATCCGATAAGCACCTACTTTATTCTGTTTTTTGTAATTTTCTGACTGAGTGCTATTTCCTTTGGAGAGAGTGTTTCTTTTGATATCTTCCTTTGGGTCTATTAGCAGTAATTTTCCATATTTGGTGACATTTGTTTTGATGTACTTATATCAATTATTATTAGGCCATTTTAATTGATTCCTTTATTATTGTATAATATCTACCAATGTCTCTGTTTGCCTTTTTAAAAGCTTGAAGTCTATTGTGTCTGCTTTTAGTATTGTTGACCCTGTAAATAATTTTTTATTTGAGTCTATGTTTGTCTTTGTCATATAAGTGGGTCTCCTCTAATAATAGTTAGGATTTGCTGCCTGATTGGTCTATCAATTGAACTAAATTTGTTCTTGAATTCATTCTAAAAGTCTTCATTATTTATCTCCTCTCTTAATTTTTAAGTTTTTTATGTATTTTGATACTTTCAATTTTCTTTTCTTTTGATTTTATAAAAATGCCCTTATCATTTTGAAGAGCCATTTTAACACTAACGAATTCACTTAGCTGTTGTGACTCTGAAAACTCTTTATTCCCTCTTAAAATATGAGTGATAACCTAGTTTTCTAGAGAATTTTTAATTAGAGGAATTTTTCAATAAAACTTTATATGCAGTAAACTGTTTCCTTCTGGCAAATAGAGTTTCTGTTGAGATATCTGATGTTAATCTTAACAGGACTTCATATTGCTTTTTGTCCTGATTTTAAGATTCTCTCTATTTTTCCATTTTAATGCTAATGTGTACTATGTGTCTCCCTTGTTAAATATTAATGTCAGCAAACTTCACAGAAATTAACATTTATAAGTGTCTAGTACATGTAATTAAAAAGACACTGTTAAGTGCCAAAAACTGTTTAATAATTCATTGAATAAAATAAGTACAAATTGTTTCAATTTAACAAGATCAATTCCAGATCTTTTTATACACATGTTGGTGGGTGTGTTTCTGAAAGTACCGTAGTGGGGGTTAAACTGTTCTCTATACCAAATAAAATTCAAGTATTTCAGTCTGGCAAGATGTTTGAATAGGTCTAAACTGTGTTTACTTTGTCCTGTGACCACTACAAAATCTTCACAAAAGTTCAAGTTAATCTTAAACGTACTTGAAGACTTAACAAGGAGGACAGCCCCTGGGAGGAGAAGGTATCCTTCCACAGAGGAAGGCCCTCATCAGAGTGCATGCAATGCAAATGAAAGGAGAGGGCTAGGCTCATGAGCCTCCACCAAATATGGTCAGAGCTGGGATTTAACTGCAACTGCGAGAAGTCAGCTAGTTATATAGAATTCTTTAGCATGTAGACCTGTATAAATATAGCTGAAACTCTGAAGAGCAAAGGACAGTAGAGTTCCCTTAGTGGAACACACACATGCGCACACACACACACACACAAACACACACACACACTCACATAGAGGGGGAGAGAGAGAGAGAGAGAGAGAGAGAGAGAGAGAGAGAGAGAGAGAGAGAGAGAGAGAGATACCATTGTCAAGAAAGAAATGTCACTATGAAACACCAAACCCAAATTAGGACAATTTCTAAGCCTCTACTTAAGAAGGAAAATGAAGAAAGAGAAAAATTGAACTGCATTTATTGATAAAGACAGCCTGAGAAGAACCCCAAGCTTATCAAAACATTTTTCAGTTTAAGACTTTCTCATTTTCCTGATTAAGAATTCAAATCAACAAATCAAATGATGCTTAACAAGATAAATCAGTGGAAAGAACTTCA